GAAAATATGGATGGAGGACAACAGAGCTGCTTCATGGAAGAAGAACCTCAGCTTAGCCTGTTAGCCTTTGCGCTAGAGCCGACGCTATATTGCCTTATATGTATTAGCTCGGTGCTAGCGCGACAAACAAGCTAAACAGAGGTCTTCCATCCATATTTTCAGTTGCAAGCTGAGTCATTTTTGTGTTCCCCTCTCTGTCATGTGGATGGAGGACCTCAGTGACGAGAGGAGAATGTGAAGCGCTGAGCTAATACATCGGGGCTAACGCTAAAGCTAACAGGCTAAGCTGAGGTTCTTCTTCCATGAAGCAGCTCTGTTGTCCTCCATCCATATTTTCAGTTACAAGCTGAGTCATTTCTACCTTCTCCTCTCTGTCATCGCTCTCTGGTTTCATTTAAAAGAGTCGATCGTCAGATATTGTCCAAGATTAACCTTCAGGGTGGAAATAGCTCGCTAGCAGCATCGCACCGAGGACCTATCCACATCATCATTTACCCAGAATGCTTTGCATGTAAATAAAATGGCCCGTCCGTGTAATATATTTTTGAACTTCGTTTAAAATTGATAAAAACTGAGCATCCTACAGTATTTTTACAGTCTTTATTTTACAGTTAAAATATATGTTTATAAATAAAGTCTAATGTTACAACTAATCATGGATCCCTTTAAACACACAAGCCCAAAAGGTGGGAAAACATGCCGTCAGTCAGAACACAGACCCCGCTGAGTTGAAGCACAGCAAAGTGGCAGGATTGGAGCAGAAGGGAAAAACCTTGCGTGGATTTGCGAACTCACAGACTCTGAAGAAATTTTCATCAAAAGATCTGGCCCCGGAGTTCCGACGAGCGTCAAGATTTGCTTCAACTGATCAATGTCTACCAGCAGCCGGTAAAGGAAGACCAGATGTTGAATGAGAGAAAATTTAAACTGACCTCASTGTTAAACCTGAATCACCTAAAAAATAAACAAGTATGTTTGACATTCAGTTACATTAAGTTTAGACATAACACAGGGAGGACCAAGGATTTGAAATGCAGCCTGCAGAGAAAAAAAAATCAAAGATTTTAGTGACTTTTCCAAGAAAAGGTGGGAAACAAGTTCAGACATTAATCTGAAAACACTGCCAGGAGGGGAAAAAATCAGCTAAGTTCAGACATCGAGGGGCACAGCCTCATAAAAAACTGACAGAAGTGAAAAGAGAACATGAACCTGAACCAGTGACGCTCACTGAAAAGACAGAAGTGGAAATATTACTGTAAAGGTTATGAGTCAACCTGGAAAAAAAAAAAAAAAACATATCCTACCTCAGGCAAGATATGTGCCTTTGTGCTGGAAGAAACATCCCATAAAAATTTGTTTCATTTGATGACCAATTTGTGCAACAGAACCTATCAAGCTTTTGAGACCATAAAAAAAAGGATACGGTCTGTGCCAGGAAACAGAGGTCTTCCAGTTAGAAACTCTGCCATGATACACCCCACCGACCAGATATCCACTGAAACAAAGAAGCAAGACCAAAACGTGAAGATTTTGAAAGTTTTCTTTTAATAACCAAGGATTTCATGTCACATACCCGTCATGTTGTAATGCATCCAGTTCAACATGATTTCTGGGGCACGGTACCAACGAGTGGCCACATAACCCGTCATCTCCTCATCGGTGAGTCGCGCCAAGCCAAAGTCCAAAATCTGAGTGAGATTTTAGTTTTTAAAAAGCAGCACTGCTACTAAAACATTTAAAACCACGATTTGAGATTAAAACTGGGCTCCAAACTATGACAGATCACTGACCCTCAGCTCACAGTCTTCATTCACTGCCAGGTTACTTGGTTTCAAATCCTGCCAAGAAGAAAGCAGCGTGTGAGAAACACAGTAGTTATATCTTCCACCTTATTCCTAAAATCTTATAGGTGGAACTAAGTAGAAGTCGTTCCATGCTCCTTCTCTTGTCAACATTTGCACAAGCCTGACTTAATCAAACAAAAATCTTAATCATGATGACACATTTGTTTCCCTTGTACAAAAATCAAAGACGTAATTATATTTGTCAAATAATATTCCAACACTTACTCTGTGAATGATTTCTGCTGAGTGGATGTACTGTAGAAAAACAGAGRATTTACCATCAGTTTGGATAAACAACAACAATAAAAAGTCCTTCAAGCCAAAAATTCTTCTTGCTTGAATATTAGAACACTATTTTTTTTACAAGAACAGTAACAAATCTGATACTAGCTTTATGTTGGTCCACTCTCCTGACAACAAAGGCTCTAGTTTAAAACTAACAACCAAGTGTCTACAATTGTATTTAGCAACAGAAAATTCTTAAGTTTTACAAAACTGGACAAAGAAATTTGATTGGAAACAGGCTGCATTATTAGCAAACAATGGAACCCTTTTAAAACAGTTTTGCACAGGTTTTTTATTGCATTTCATTTGTATTTGGTCTATTTTGGTGTTGCAGCTAACAAAATTTCTCCATTAAAGGGACGAACAAAGGGAACAATTTATTCTCCTTGTAAGAGCCTTCACACAGTGCTCAAAGAACTTGTTTACTAGAAAAACCTCTGAACTTATTGACATGCACAAGACTGCCATCCTATTGTTTCACTGAGGAGGAAGAGAAAAGCTTCAGTAAGTATCTACTGAAACCTCACACAACAAAAATTCAAGCAGTAAACACCTGAATAGAACTCATGTTGGAATTTGAACATAAAACACAGAAGTGAAACTAAACTCTCAGACTGGTTGGTCCTGCTGCAAACACAGAAGATAGCCAATCATTGGGCTGCCACACTTAAGATGCATGTCTTATTATGTTAAAAATGAATATGAAATGTTTAAATGGCTCAATAAACAATGTTTATATGGCAAATTCTATTTTTTAAAATTGTATTAAATTTATTGCGTTGCCCCCACATWCTGCAGTCCTCCTATGATGCACTATGGAGGACAGTGCCCCTAATTTGCTTAGAAAAGAAATGTAGGGAGAACAAAAACTTGAGAGGGGAAAAGGGGTAGAAGATAAAAAAGGAAATGATCGTGATAATTGCACCTATGAATTTAAAAATAATTTAATTTAAAAATATATTATAAAATAAAAAAGTAAAAAAAACAACTTTGCCCCTTAAACACTGTGTTTATTTCCACTAAAGTTTTGCCTTTTAACATAAGTCTGATTAAAGTCTTAACTTWCTTTAGGCTGTTTGACTTTTTCACATCTTTGTTACGACTTGGGACACTGACACTTGTCATTTTTAAAAGTATAAAGAAAACTATCTTTATGTTGTGATTAGGCATAGTGAACYTTGCCAAGTGATTTATTGTTATTTTTGAGCTGCAAGGCTGCCAGCAAAACAGACAGAAGAGAATCTGGTATTCTTGTAATTATGTTTTAATTAAGCTTTGCATGCAACTGTGCACAAAAACATATAAGTTAATTTGTTATAATATCCTCACAAAATAMCCTTACCTTTAACCCTCTGAGGATTTGGTATATGAGGAACTGCACTTGGTCATCTGTGAGTTTCTGACATTTCACAACATTGTTGAGATCTGCTCCCATTAGGTGAGTCACAAAATACCTGTCAATCAYAAAACAAGCAGAAATCACAAGAAATTTATTTTCCCCCCATTTCATAAGAAGCCAAGTGGGTTTAAAACAAACATATTTGCTCTTTAAAATKAATTTTGCCAAGGATGTTTGCAGCCTACAGCTTATTTCCCATACGGCTGAGGGCTTAAACCGGTTTTGCGGCTATTTCTTTTTATTCTCGCTTTTCTCTGGAGGCGTTAAAAAGGTCAGGCCCTTCACAAATGGAATGTCATTTAACAAACACAACGGATAAATGAGCTTAATGGTACTGCATCAGTGGATAAATCAAATCTAATCCCAGAGCTCTTTAAAATGCCCAAACAGCAGTTCCAGGAGGCAGCAGGAGCAGGATGGCGGAGAGGCAATATCGGAGCCAAAACTCACAGAGCCATGTGCTGCTTTGTAGATCTGTTGCTCAACAAATACCCATTTCATGAATACTCTTCCACTCTCACAGAGTGCAGAGAACGAAGGCTTAAAATAGGACTTTTCCATGCTTCAGCTTGTTGTCAGCAGCACACAGATACTCAAAACTTGACCCACCTTGGAAAAAAAACGGCATATAAATAGTGACCTCTGTTCTCCTCTCTCCTGTAGAAACAAGCACATGGCAGGAACACGGAGGAGGAAAGGAACTCAGGATTTTTTTTTAATATAGCACAACAAATCCCTCCAACTCATTTATTCAGTCTTAACTCTCTCTCTCTTTTGATAAGAGTTGGGACCCCATGTGTGACCTTGTATTTACTTTCAGCCCTGCATGTCAATCTAATCTTGGTGGGAGGTGGAACAAGCCAACAACTCCTCACTGTAAAGACAAAGACTACACAGCTGCACACAAAAAAACACTTAAAACATAAACAGACAGCAAATCAAAGTGGTGTAAGGCAAACTTTAGTGCTTTAATATTTAAAATGTGTCTTTCTTGTCAAAACCTTCTGCTAAAATTAGAAGTAAAATACAACACAGTGTTCAAGAATTCAGTAAGAGTTTACTTTATGCTCTTTRTTTGCTTGACTTTTAAAACAAGGATATATTTCATGATGTGATTGAAGATGACAGGAGAAAACCTCAGCTCAGTGTTCTGGACAGGACCACCAGCTGTCATTAGCTATGTTTACCTATGCAAAATTCTTTGATTAGATGGAAATGTTTTTGGATTAAATAATCCAAATGAATCGTTCATATTGGCACAAATTAATTAATCTGATCATGATGCGTGTTTACATGCACCAGGCTTTTACTGGCATGTGCAGAGTTGTAAACTTTCCCTAACAAAAAAAAGAAGAAGAATTTCTACTTCTGTGATGAACATAAACATTCTGTGTCTTCTGAGCGCCCAGAATGGACCTGCATCAGGTTTTAATAACAGTGGAGACATCTCTGCACTCCATGTTCCAACACTTTCGACCATCAAAGCATTTGATAATTTGGAGCTCTTTCAAAGTTTCTAATAAAAATGTTTTATTGCTAACTGACCAACTTTACTTCTCTGACAGTTTTGCATATAGCCAGGAGGAAATTCATCAGGCTGACATAAGATACAAAATAACCAAAGTCAGGTCAGTCTTCCACAACCAGAATAAAATGATCAAAATAAGTGTTTACATGCACATTGCACACCATAATCAGCATAAACCACTCCTCTCATTTGGATTACAAATTCATTCAGATTTAGCTGAATCAGATCTGAATATTCTGAATCTTTTTCGCATTTGGCTTAAAAAAATAATCTTGGTCTATCTGAGACAAAAACTTGATCATAATTTTGATTTTCTTAGTGTATTTTATAGTACGCTGCAACCACTGCCTCAAGAAAAACAATCAACATATTAGCTTCAGGTATTCTGTATGTGGGGTTCCTTTCACCTTTATTGCATGCACTGTTAGATACCAGAAAAAATCTTTGAAGTCCTGCAGAACGAAGTGGGTTCTGGACTTTATGACCCAGAATGATGCACAGAAGTGAAAGTCTGACATTCCACAGWGACGAATATTACACCCAAGAACTGAGGACTGTTCCAAAACTATCAACTGTAGAAATGAGATGTTTCACAAAGTCAGAATTGAGGAAACATAAGGAAGGAAGCTGATGATAAAACAACTCTGGTAGTGGCTGGTGAATGAATAACAGAGCAGGCAATTTAAAAAAAGCACCAGTGTATTTAACCTGCTGGACTGGCTCCAGGTGTTTTCCAGCACAATTTGGACCATCTGCTGCTGTAAAAACTAAATAGTACTTTAACATTACTGCTATTATTCAGTTATGTTGCACTACAGCTGTAATGAGACAAACAGGAACGAAGTTAATTATTTTAAAGCAAACTCAACTCACAGGTCTTTGAATTCCTTCAGAGAAGCAGCAGGGCTGAAAACATCTAGGAGGCCAATGACCTGCAGAAACACGGAAACCACAGTCAAATAAATTACACTGAGATGCAGATTTTTATAAAGCAAACATTAGGAATGAATATTTTTTTTATTTTAAACTAGTTTATCTCCAGGGTGAAAGAAAGAAATTCACTCACATTTTCATGCTTCATGTGTTTAAGCAAACGCAGCTCTCGATGCGTCCTTTTGGCATGCATGATGGACTGAAATGGCCGAGAGAGCTTCTTCACAGCAACTTGACAATTTGTCTTGTTATCATATGCAGAACTGTTTAAAAGAAGAGAATAAAACACATCACTGATCAGTAAAATACAAACATACAAATATGGCCATGATCCAATTTTGTACCCTATAAAGATCAAAACCTGCAAGTGATGATGAAAGACTCAACGAGGAATTCTGCGCAAAGCTCGCCTCTTATGTTGATGACTTTAAAGAATTTTATTGGCTCAGAAAAAAGGCTGAGTTTGCTCTCAAAACAAAATTAGGCATGGCAAGGCAAACTAAATGCAGAGAGCAGAGCAATATCAGCAGAAAATGTCATCTCTCAGCAGAGCTGCAGCAGCCTCAGGTCTTTCCTCTGAGAGCTGACGGTCTCTGAATAAAACCAACACTTCCTGCTGAGCAGCTCACCTGTCACAGCTGATGAAGAACTGACTGACTGCTGCCAGGATCAGACTGTAATGTTTATCGGGATCAACGGATGTCTCCATGTCTACAGCCCTAAAGTATTTTCTGAACATTTATCTCAGCAGGAACTTTCGTTACGAGGACGTAAAATTGATTAGGGTTCAGGCTTTGAGGATGAAACCAACACCCGTTAAATATGAGATGAATGTTGCTGTTGACACACGTCTGCAAAAATTATGGCTCAATTTCCCCATTGCATCTAGACATAAACCTAATAACTAACAACGGTAAATTAACAAACCTTGATGTATGGGTGCAAGACGTGAACTCCATGAAGTCACCAACACAAGAGGATTTTAGAAGAGTTAGAAGATATAAAATTGGGAACTAATGTTAGGGATTACATAAAAGTGGTTTTCTTTTCTTGGACATGTGCAAATGGTAYAAATAAAATGTCTGACTTTACTACATAGATCTATGTGAAAACAGGCAAGAGGACAACTACAACTACACAAACTTGAACACTGGTGCTAACAGAACAAGAACTGAGGTAGACAGAAGTATGGCACCTGGYGAGAGATGTTATTGTTTCTAGAGGATAAATGAGATGAGACCAACCAATATGTGTCTTCTTTCTTTGCATTTAGGAAACGCATCAGCCCAAAGTAACTGCTGATATAGAAACTTACAAATCATTTCATCAATTTATTTAAAAATACCTCTTTTATTTACTTATTTATTTTGGTAGAGCAATTTCAAGTGTACCYTTGCTTTAAAGATGATTTATCAGTAATGTTAAATAAACATGTTAAATATTGAAAACAAAGACTTCTGTGATAGAWGTATGTTTTTGCAGTAAAATATGCATATACCGATGAAAACATTTTGTATGGCCTTTTAATTACCGTAATAGCATCTACTATTAGACTTTTTTTATTAAGGGTTATTTAGTATTGTTTTGTAAACTGTGTTTTCTTTGAATATATTCTGGGGATAAAAAGGGCAGACATAAGATTTATTCTTCTTCTGCTACCTTGCATTTCATTTTTATTTGTGTATTTTTTTTGTTTTCTATTGTATATAGTTCTTT